CCACTTGCTAGGGCACGTCTCCCACTCCAACCACGCCTTCTACTTGCTGTTGCCGTTGCCCTTTCGTCAAACAAAAAGGTTCTAGTTGATATCTGTTTTGTGCTGTCCTTTTTTGTAGGGCATCTCCTTTTGATCTTATGTGGTCGTTATAGAATGCGCTCAATGTCATTTCTCTAACAAATGCTTACCATCGAGCATGTGAAGTCGTCAAGGTACCCCGACTAGAAGGAGAGGATCTGGATGCAGCTCTACAAATTCTCGAAAGTCAATCTTTTCTCGCTCCAGGTCCGGGCGGAAAATTATTACTACAGGTTGGCCATTTTTCTGTATCATGCCGTACTATGACTCTAACTTAATTGAGCCAGGTTTTAGAAAAAAAATAAATTGTTACTTCAAAGGTGCATATGTTCATTCCAGGTTAACGCAGCAACTGCGAAGTTGGCTATTGCTGATAACATAATGATTGCTCAAGTTACGGGACTGAATCTGTGAATGTCGTTGTATTATTTAAGTTATTTAAGGCTTCATTTTTTAATTTCTTCCTGTGAATTTGGTTATATTATTCGAAACCTATTTTTCAATTCACTATGTCATCGGTAATAAACCTTTGCTATTAGCCTAATGCATTGTCGTTCTTCTGAGGTAATCCTACCGCTGTTTTTCATATCGATACACAATTGTGCTATGCATTAGGTGTTGTAGGCGAACAACGTGTTTGCAAATCAGATCTGCACATATATCCACAGACGCATTGAGTTATACTTCATGCACATTCAGCTTCGTCACCAGCACTGCAGATGTTCTCTTTCAGGAACCAATGAGGCCATTAACCAACGAAGAAACCGAGCAGGTGTTCGCCAAACTAGCATCGTTCATAGGTGACAATGTAGCGCTTCTTATCGAGCGAGCAGATGGTGACTATTGTTTCCGGAATCACAAAGTTAGAGCTATTTCAATTCAAACTTGATTTTCTCTGAATAATTTCGGAAGAGTTCTTGTGCACAATCCTTAATAACCTTGTTTAGGAACGTGTTTACTACTGTTCGGAAAACTTAATGCGACAAGCTAGTTGCATTGCTCGGCAGCCCCGTCCTACTCATTTGCACATGTCTTGGTTCAAAATTCAACGAGTTCAACGTTATCAAAATTTCACCTTCACTATCCTGCCTCTGACTATTTAGCACGATACCAAGTTTGCACTTTGGATCTTCGTTTCTTTCCTTTGCTTTTCTCTTGCCCGATTCTCGGTGGCAATTTCTGTTCAGTAATTGAACAACGAGACCAAATAACTTTAACATTCATTCGTACCGCCTTATACGAGCATCTCCCCACCTTTATCATGTTTTTAAAGAATGAATCATCATTAATCTATCTGCAATTTTATCAGTGATGATACTTATGCTTTCCTGGTTCTGAAAATGAGTGCAAGCACTTAAGGAAGCATTGAAAAATGCCAAATAAATCAGATAAAGGACTATGATCTTCCGCTCCAAATCGTGCGCCACATGGTGGCGCACGTGGTACGCAATGTGTTAAAGTTCTCTCCAGGTAAGCATTCAAGATGAAGTTTGAAAGGTATGAGCTAGTCATTTCTGATTTATGTACTGTTCTTAATGTTTCCACAATTCGATGAAGCAGTGATTTTACTTCCTGAGACATTTTTTGTTGGCCAAGGCCTACGTGCATATAATTTTTTTCTTTCGAGGAAATATAGTCTTTCAGTATCGAGTGTGGCTGAAACCCAATGCGGAACAGCAGTTCCTCTACGGAAACAATATCTTAAAATCTGGAATCGCACGAATGACGGATAGCATCCAAGCAGTGCTGGTACGTTTGTAATAACATTGAATGAATCCTTATAAGGGTAAGTATAGCTTGTCTTCATGATCCGTATTTTTGATATATACGTATTTGACGGCAGTTCTCTTCACCCTGGCACGGTCGTCGCGGACCTTTTGCAACTTCTCCTCAAAAGGAGCGTGCTACTTCACTTCTGTGATGTAGTTACATTGTCTTGCCAGTTCGTCGTGTCTGGAAAGGCTAACGCGCAGAAAGGAAGCGGCAGATCCTATCTGCCTGTGTTGTTCGCTTATCTAGTTGCGATTGAGAGTATATTCGAAACGAAAGTAATCTAACATGATAAGTCAACCTGAATTTTATCATTTGTTAATTTTACATTACATACATTACATTGTTATCGTTGTTGACGTTGTTTGTTGATTTCAATGGGCGATTCATTTGATTGAATTGGAGATGAATTTACATTTGGTATGATTTATATTTGTGTTAGGAACGCACCAGAACGGATAATGGAGATCGTGAGTAGTGAGCGTTTCATGTGGTTATAACTTGAGCTTAATAACAGTAGCAAATATGAGATCGTGTAAATTATTGCTGCTATAGTGTCGGCGAGAAGAACCTGCTCATTTGAGTGCTGAGAGCCTGACTGACTCCAGGAACCGAAGATGAAAGCACCGAATTTGGCTGTACACTTTGAGACGATGAATACAACTCCATCATTGACATCATCGAAGGGAAACGATTTGCAACGATTTGTGCTCGATCAGATGACATTCCAGGGCATACCTATGGTGGAAAGTGTCGAAAAGGGTAACTTATAGAGGGAAGCAGAAAAAAATCTGATGTTCAACCAACCATCAATTGCCGAGTCCATGTGTCTTTCACTGACTCAGCACGTGCCTTTTTCGACATTCCTTGGAAACATTCGAAGGTAATTCCACTCACCTGGAAAAGCTGCTCTATTTCCTCACTCTAGCAGGAATACTGGAGTAGGTAAATCACTGGTTCAATGAAAACACTTGCCTGACGCTTTGAAACCATCGCTTTAAGGTATTCAGTGAGACGCAGCAAAAACTGCGCGCTTTCATATGGTGATTTGGTACGCTGAATCATAAATCCATCGATGACCATCGTTGTTGCGAGAGCCTAAGAAAATACATGTGATTTTGTCGAAGCAAATTTTGCCACTCAGACTGGTTTCTTGGATTTCACATAGGTTTTATTCCGTTTAGCTTTCGCCGTTTGCAGTCTTATCTGACTGATTTTGTGCACTACTGACACGTAGCGCGTTAGTCAACAATTCGTCCTCGTTAGCAATCTGCGATGCCTTCGATTTGAATTCCTACTTGTACATGTGGTGACAATACAGTGTGAATTAGGGCTACACGATGATTTCAGAGATCATTTGACAGAACCAGGGCCAAGAGGAACCCTTGGGGAGGGGTTGTTGCCCTGACTGCTTGGAGCGGTATCATAAATTGCGCGGGGGGGGGGGGGTCAGCAAACAGCAAATCAGTGGTGGATTTTTAAGACCGATGAGAATTGAGCTGCAAAAAAAACTAGCATTAAAGAACGATTTTGCAGGAGAGGCTCATGGATGCTAAACACATACTTCAATTTTTAGTTATGAGGAGTAAAAATCACTTTCAAGGCATACCAAGATTTATGAACGGAACGAAGATATGAGAAGTTCCTCGAAAGAGCGTTTTTTTTTTGATTAATGAAAAGAGCTTTTGATTGGGAAGCCCAGATTGAAAGGACTTCTGAATGTAGTCAGTAATTTGCAGAAGAATATTTAGAGAGGACGGCCGTCACTAAAAGGTGAAAACACGAGCGTGGAAGTTTGCGCGAGCAAGCGTAGAGCAAAGAAAGGTGGAATCACCTTTGCCACTCCCACTCTTTGGTCGAATGAGCAAAATTCCCATTTTCCAACTGTACCTGCTCACTAGCACTGTATTGAGGCGTTAGAGTTCCTTCCACCAGATAAACACGATTCTTCATAGGAGAACGACGTAAGCGCTGCTTCTGCTCCTCGTATCGTCCCTAAATAACAATTTTCTTTGTGCTTCATTTTTTTAGAGCGAAACGGCAAAGAAGACTGTAAAGTCTTTGTTTCTTATTAACTGCTATTTTTAGCCGCAGTTCGCTTTGCGAATGTTTCACAAGAATGCTGGGTTGTGAACAAAACATTCGAACCCAGAGGGGACTCGAACCCGCACCTTTTGCTTTCCGGGAAGTGTGCTACCAGTTAGGCTACCGGAGCACCTTTTCATTCCAACTCAGCTTTTCACGCTATACTTACCATAGTACCATAGTTGCAGCACTCAACGTATGCCAGTCACTTGCCAGGTAACGAAAAGGTTCGGGATTCGAGCCCGTCATGGGCGGTAGTCTGTTCGCACCACCTATTCCTCGGTGAAACTATAAAATCTCTCCACTATGGTCAGCGCTCTCCAAAGACCTGACTTAATAAATGGCTTTGGCAGTGCTTTTACCAGGTCTCCGGCCAATCAAGAACTGTAGTCTGTACAAGCGTTTGATGCAGCAGTAGGGGGCGAGGGTGCACTCGAGACTCCATCGAGGACTGATGAGGGGTTCATGTCGAGATTTAAGAGGGTTTGTGGAATTATGCTGAATGAGCACAAGGACCATCAATCATCTTATGTTTCGAATGAGCGCACCGTACGCAATCCGAAGACCTCAAAAAGGGGCGATAATGAGCTAATTGCTTTTTATCCTTTGTCAAGCTCCTAGATAATAAGGTTCATCTGGTCAGTGAGAACGTAGTAATCATAGCAATCGAGAACACTCACCCCTTTGGGTCAACCTCATGCACGGGTGTGCCCGTTTAAAAGCAGAATTTACAATGAAAATGCAGCCTATCAGTATACAAGGTAGAGGTGGTCATGTTGTGCAGGGGGTTGAAAATACCCATGGAGAACGCCCAGAACCCGAGATATGGGACACCTTCTTTGCCTGTTGATTTTTGGATTGATGCCACTATCATAGGTGATGCCCTCTTCAACGCTAACACACTCTTTTTATGAACGGTCAGAGCCAGACGGTGGGTGGGCGTGCTGCGGTTGTTGAGCGGCGCTTGTTCTTCGCTGACAGCGATTGTTGCCGACTTTAGCGGGGCTACCCTTCGACTTGATATATTTCGTTTCTTTACCCTGTATGCGGTGAATCATTTCCAAGTAGTTTCTTCAGATTCTCACTTTTACCACTAGATCGATCCTCCACTTTTCCATATTTATTTATTTGTTTATTTATCATGCACTCTAGGTGCGCCATCCATTATTCGTTTGGGGACTTGTTGCAAGGAATTATCAAAATCAAGCGAACGCTACAGCCTTACCGATCTGATGCTTTGATGGAGATCACTCCACGTTTTCCGTTCAACAATCCAGTCCAAAATTATTTCAGTTCCATCAATTTTGCGAGCTACCCACAAGGTAATCACCAACTGAGAGCGGTCGCATTTCCACCTGTACAAATTACATTGTCTGAAGAAGAACAACATCCCTATAACTTTTACCCGATAAGGTGATGTTGTCAGACACTCAACAACAGTATTTCCACGGAAATTTGCGTTATTCTCGCGAAGGTCTGCGATTAGTATGACCTGAAACGAAGAAATGGTAGTGAAAACTTTGCTTGCTTGAAAAGAATAACACGAGGCCGGGTCTGTGGTTTACAGTGTTTGCATCGTAAGGCCGGTGCAAGGCTTTGTAAGTCCAGCCTATTCCGGGGTTCTGGCCGGGCGCCACCGGTTCAAAAGATGAACCAGCGATTCGAGAGTGTGGAAATTTAGGTTAAACCCCTAGTTTTTTGCATACCTCAGCTTTATCCTTAGGTTCGCAAGCGGAGTAACTGATATTCTCCGAGGATGCTGTCTCAGGACGGCACACAGTTGAGGCTTCAGATCCACTTAGGACTTGCTGGCTGCCACACCCCCTTTCCTCAGAGGTATGGGATGTTTTAGTTCGCTCTGTAGACATATCCTGAAAAGCAAGTGGATAACACAAAGTGTATAATTAGCTAACCATGTTTCCTATTGGTTAGAATCTCGTAAATTAAAGTTGAAATCTATGGCTTCTCTCGCACACAGTAGTAATTTGCGCTTGGACTTGTTACGCTAGTACGTGTAAAAATTGGGGATGGGCTATAAAAATACCTACTAGCAACAAACCTATAACGCAGAGCAGTCTACGTTATCGCGCATCACAGATCCGGGCCGAGATCTGGAGTATTGTGAGAGAAACTTGCTCATACCTTTCACTCGATTGAATTGATCGCCCAAGACTGCCCAAAATTCAAGAACAACAGGAAAATGATGAAGGAGGCTTGACAAGCAGTGGTAGTACTTCGCCAGGCATAACCCGTTCCGAAAATCACCAATACAACCTCTCTTACCACAGATGACTGGTTCTGCCTAACCGCTTCCCAATTTTTATCAGAACATCATCTAGGCTCATAGCGCTCAAGAATGTCATCCGCCATTATCATATCATCTCGGTAGTGCATTGCAATAAACTCAACATTACACGTTTGCCTTTTCAACCTCCGCATATCGGAGCCTTAGTAGTTCGCCTTACGTACCACGGCCCACATTGCCAGGACCAGCATGCACTTTCGCTTTCTTATCCATTACCGCATTGGGGATAAACTGGATAAACGCACTCCAAACACTCAATGAACATTCTACTACAAACGACGAATAATTCCGACACCATATTTGGTTCGTATATTCGTCTGAATTCTGAGAAATTTCCATTAAGTAAAATTAAATGAATAGTATATTATTAATAACATTAATATATAAAATATATACTAGACATAAATATGAAC